TAAAATATTTTATCTTATCTTATAAAGTATATTTCCCGGTTTATTTATATCGTACAAAGTGTCCGCGATCGATTTTCATCAATTTATTTTCACCGTACAAAGTGTCCGCGATCGATTTTTATCAATTTATTTTTACCGTACAAAGTGTCCGCGGTATGCAACTCAAACAATAGATAGTACAAAGTGTCCGTTTACCATCTGAACTGCGTTGGAGCCATCCGCACCGACAAGCTTGGTTTGCCTGCAAACAGGCGTGGGCGATGTGGACATGATCGTCGTGTTCACTGATGATGTAGAAAGGTTGGATTCTGTTGAACTTAACGATTTGCAAATATCGTCAATGAATCGAATAACTCCTTCGCGTCCAGGTGGCACAATAACATCGGACACGTAGCAAATGTTTCCGTTCCAATCGTAATCATTACAACATTGAGCAGCTCGTTGTATGGCGTTTTCATCTGTTGGCGAAGCGACGTCAATAGTTTTGTATAAACTGTTATCAAAGGGTTGTAATTCGTTGTCTCCAGTTCCTCCATCATCGTCACTATTGCCGGTGAATAATTCGTCCATTTTTTCGGGTGTATCCTTTTTTTAAAAAAAAAAAAAAAATATAAATTAAAATTATAAAATTTTAAACATACAATTCCTCGAAATCCTTCTTCAAAAATAATGCCATCATGTATATCACAATCGACACTGGATAATAGATTGGTTTGTCGTCCATCGTTTCCAAGTCGTATATCACCTCCATCAATTCGAAAAAAGTCTTCGAATCCCGGAGACTTTTCCCGATGTTCACCTTCACCCATTGTTCGGTTTGCAATATCGGTATATTCAAAATTTTTTGACGCCGTTGTTCCCCTTTGGTCATATCCGACGTTTGGTTCGTCTTCGATGTCGGAATTTCCGTACTCGTCGCTGTGGCTGTAGTCGACGACAATTTTTGTTTTTTCAAACAACGCAATTCTAAATTTTGTTGCGCTTGATTCGGGTTCCTTTTTATTGCCACTTTCGATTTGTTTGAATTTTCCTTTTCCTTGGCCATTTGCATTTCGGTTTTTTTCCAAAAAATCCACTAATGCCGTTGTCGGTTTAAATATCTGACTGCATTCTCCCAAGTCATCGTTATGGTCGAAAAATCCTGACTCGAAATCACTATTGTGTTGCATTATTACGAAAATAAAATAATTAAAAATATATAGTGCTTGCCGTTATGAAGTAGTATAAAATACTAAATTATTATACCGTTTAATGTAATTATTTATACCCAGTAAAATGGTGTACGTGAGAAAATGAAATAAACACATAGAATATAAGTCAAAGATCAGCATAATAAGTAGACCGTTGTTGTAATAAGGATATCATATGTACATATGTATAGTCATTGTTATTACATAGACTATAATAGCAGTTATTATCATTATAATATTAAGTAAACATGATATATATATATGTTGTCGAGAAAATCGAGCTTGGTGCTTGCCCGAAATATAAATGTACATTTATATTTCCGACTACTACGACTACGACGACAGGTGCGGGACCAACCCCGCCACCATCCCAGTCATATACAAGCCATGGCTATGCCTTCGGCAGCCGGCGTATGACTGCGAATCACTATATGAATAAGTAGTACTTAAACCCAAAATAAGCTATATTTTCTACATCAATTTTGCTCAATCTAGAAATACCAAAATTGTCATGCATTTGTAAAGGCACGTGAGCGATAGCAGCAATGTCTTTTGCAGCTGGGATTATTCTTAATCTTGGTATCTCTTCGTCGACTATAACTGCACTTTTTGGGGTAACTATTTGAATAACTCCCATAATGTGCACTGTATTATGTCCATCAATCGTAGAAATATTAATATATGCGTTGTCAGCAGAATCGCCTCGGGCGATAGAATTTTGGGTTGAGGGTGATTAACAACAGCGCTTTCGTACAATAGAACTTCTTTGTATGTGTTCGAAAATCCTATATTTGATAACATATCTAATAGACTTTTAGATCCATATCTTCTATGAAGAAATACAGATATACCGAGTAATAATCGGGACAAAAAAGTTAGCGGGCGAGTGCACTTCATTATTGCATGACTTAGTGTAGTACATTTATTTTCCAATTCATTAATATTACCTTTTTTATTTTTAATAATTATTTGTTTTAAAAAAAATAATGGACTGTGGTATATTTTTATTTACCGACCGATACCTAACCGATATAAATAGATTTATCGAATTTTATAATTTTATGCTCCAATGTTATCGCACTCAAGTTAACATTATATGTATGATGTTGCATATTTAAATGTGCTCAAGTTGATCAGTTTTTGTACTCTAGCATCGTTTGAAACAAGTTCCATAAGTATCCTCCGTTTAACTTGTACACAATTTTAAACGTGTTAGTAAAAAATCAATTAAACACAAAAATAAATACCAAAAATACTATTATTCATAAGCTTGAAAAATATTCTCAAAATCGTTCAAAAATTTTTTTCGTATCTCGGTGTTCAAATTAATAAATTCTGCAAGCCAAGGTGATTGATTGAATTGAAGGGCTCTATGCACCTAGAATAAAATTAATCATGTTAAAATGTTTAACGCGTATAAAATATTACGTTACTTTTTCAACTATCCGCCCGTTTTTAGTAGCTTGTTGGAGACTACGGTAATGTACTACATAATTTTTTTTAGGCTCAGAAGTCTCCATATGTTTTTTTACTTTTGAGCCCGCATGTATCGCGTTTTGAGAGAAAAATGGCAAATCATTGTGCTTATCGTGCAGGTGCTCTGGGTATGTCACGTCAACCTCATACATCCGTGCGATGGGGGAGGTGTCGTCCAATTCGTCTAATACATTCAATGTGGGTTCAACCCATATAAAACCTCCAGAGGGCATGTACTGCCCATAGTCCACCCGTAAGGTTGTTACTAGTAAAGTGTAGTGTTTTTTAAAAAAATGAATACAATTTGAAAAATATACTTACAATCTTGATATATAAGCCATGATTTTTCTTTAGTTTAATCATAATCAGGTACCTTATGGTTTTTGGCCTAAGCATAACACATGCTAGCCTGCACCAATCCGCCTGTATTATAATTTTTTGTAACATTTAAAAACTAATTTTCCTAATTTACATACCTTTTTCAATACATAGTAGCATGTCATAATCTGTTAAAAGCTCTAATTTAACCGATGTATATTTCAACATAGAATCGAAGCTGAAACCTGGGGCCGTATAATAAAAAGCCGGGTCTAAATTGTACGTTTTCATACAAAGATCGCGGAAATTCTCGAAAACGTCCGCCAGCAACAACACATCAATTTTTAAATTTAAATCTGAATATGCACCCAACGTCTTGCATTCAAAGTGGTCCCAGACCTGTAACACATAACAATTTTTAAAATATAGATCTAAATACGAGTGCAGTGTATACATACTCCCTTTGCGTGATCAAATTCTTCCTCCTTAACCCCGGTCTCTGTCAACGTGCTGTAGAAATCTCGCTTTCTCGGTAATCTCGTCTCCTCCAACTTATCCCAGCCATCCGTATACTCGTATGGATATACGCCTATGCGGGTAACCAGACCTGTTTTGGTTATCATATGACGTGAAGCACCGTTTACAATAATATACCGAATGACCGTGTAAGGTAGTTTGTGAACGAATAAGACGTGAACAATTTGAAATATATACATAGTGACTTTTTTCACCGTCACTGAATACAATTATATCGAAATGGTTTGCTTTTTCATCATCTACTACTTTTATTGGATATACATGACTACGTTCTAAAGATATTTTTTTAACCCCATAAATATTTACAGACACTCCCGGGTTATTTTTTTCAAAAATTTTTACTTCACACCACGGTGTTGGGAATGATAAGCCTGTGAAATTATATTTGTTCTCGTGCTGGTAATAATTTTCGCCTACTCGATGTTTATTTGGACCTGTCACGTGTATTGCTAAAATTGCCCATTTAAAACAATATTGATCATTGTTTTGAGGGTTAATTGTAGCCCGTTCATTAATTAAAGAGGGTGGGAGCTTAATGTAGGATGAGCCAGCTAGAGCGTAATTATCAGTTTGTTCGTTAAAAGAACTATTATCTTGTGTATTATTAGTATTGATATCGGTATTCGTATTGTTATCGGTATTATTTTCGTTGTCAATATTTCTAATCGGGATTTGAATATTTGGAGTATCACCCATGGGTGTGTATTTGTAAACTGTTAATAAAAGTCCATCGATGGATTCCAAAACATAACCACTACCCTTTGCTACATAAATTTCCTCCTCGTGTAATAATATCATTTGAACATGTCATTGAACATCATTGCTACCAAATTTGCATATTACTACATTTGTCACTAAATCTTTTTTTCTGATATTTGGAACAATATAGCATCATCGTCACTTTTTGCTTCTTCGACTGCATTTATTTTATTGCTCCTCAACATTTGCTGTGAATATCTTTTACCTGGCTCTTTTGTATTTGCAGGCAACTTTGTTCTGCAATACGCTTTAAAATGCCGGATTAAACCACAACGCCCACATTTTTTGTCTTTCGCCGGACAATTAGGATCATTTTTGAAATGATTTTCGTTCCCGTATCTGTAACATTCCTGACTTCTGGTTTTCAACTTATCCATTTTATAATGCTTTTTTTTCTCATACTTTGTAACTTTATTTACCATTTCTTTTTCGTTTTTCCAAAACCTTTCGCTACTAACTCGAACCGCTTGGCCTCTTCCATGATTTCTGACAAACTTAAGTTATTAATCTCGAGTAATTTCAGTCTAAGTTCGTCAGATGTACAAACATAGTACATCATAGTACAACATAGTTAATATTAAAAGGAATTTACTTAAAAAATATTATATTTTCTACTCACAGTCTTGATATGCAAGCCACGATTTTGGTTTTGTTGGGTCAAAATCAGGTGTCTTATAATTATTGACTTTGGCATACCGCATGAGCAGTATATATTTGTATGTTCACAGTTCGTTTTTCCACGGTAATTTTTTTTGTTCAATTGGGAATGTTCCCCTCGGACGACTCAGAATTACCGTATCACACAATCCGGTGATTTGACACTCAGTGTCCACCTATTTACCACACACACGAAAATATAATTTTGCTTTTTATTGTTCGGCGATCTAAATCCTGCAGCATTGTATCGAATACGGCCTGCATAGTCTGATTCAGACTACTATTTAATGACTGGTCTTTCGATTTATCGCTCGTGAAGATCTTCACTGATGCTTCCGAATGACGCCATCTATAAACATACAATAGTAAAAATAGAATCGTACTGTTAAACAGATACAAAAGGTGTTTCCAGTATTTACCTATCCTTAAGTGCGACATTTACAATGTTCGAGCTTTTATAATGAGTCAAAACCCAGTAATCGGTCGGCTTGCCCTCAAAAGTAGTTTTAGTGGTGATAAGCCCATAACCTTGACGGAAAGTTAGTGAATTTGTCACTTCTTCCTCATAATCTTCTAATCTAAAAAGATCACCAACGTTATCTCTATATGATGATGATGATGTAGCCTATAAAAAAAAATTATAAAAAAGAGTAAATAAATAGTTTATGCTAACATCATAAAAATGTTTTATCTCACCATTTTCGTCTACTTTTTTTTAGGTTTTTTTTCTGTATTCTTTTCAGCACCACGTTTTAAACTCTGTTTGCTTTTTGATGCAGATGGTTTCATTTTTACATCTGCCGGTTCTTCAAAATATTCATTCTATGAAACATAAACATAATACCTAGTTTAATTTTTTTTTTAACTAAAATGAAAAGCAGGCTTTAAACCGATTTCAAAAATATTTAGTTTAAGAGGCCGTTCTGGTAGAAGTGAAAAATATACAACGCTCAAGAGATGGCGTTGTGCGCCGTATCGCCGCCGTCGCGGCAGGCCGTAACCACGCCCATCGTCTACGGGACCTGGTCCGCGAGTAATTATTGCGGGAGCGGTACATCATTATTTCACAGACGACCGTGTGGAACGTTTCGCGTCAATACTGTTGACCGCTGCGTAAATTGTGGCCCGTGTATTTCTTATGTAGGTAATAGCTTGCGGCGCACAAGTCGCGACCTATTTATTAATTAAAGCTCCTGTTTGCTTACAATTATCAACCAATAAATAGAGCACAACAAATTAATATACACCATAACTCGATTTATACTTCTAGCCCAATTACTTTTTAAAATACATATAAAATAATAATGTTTCATTACGATTTTTAGTAAATACCTATGTCGCGTTTTTTACGTTATCGCAATTTGCTGTATGTTTTTCCTCATATCATAAAAAACCATCTGTAAAAACTAAACATATTCATATTATTAGAATCAATATAAATTCTATACTTTGGTAATCACATATCATAAATAATATATGATTTGACGTGTATTATCAAAATAATAAGNGTAGATAAATATATAATTGACGTTTCTGTATACACGATATCTTCTAAATGGTTATGATTGGGTTCGATTATTGTGTTTCCCACATAAACAACCGTTTTCATTAGCTACATCTGGGCTGACCTATAGCCGGGGTGCTCATTATCTGACGGCGACGGTCAACCCGCCAGCCGCGTGTGATCGAAGCAACACATCCGATTAGCTATACGATGCGCGTGATCTCCTGGAAGGTCAACTCTTATCCACACATGTGTGCATCAATCGCAGGATCCGTTAAATATTGCGAGCGCAACGATCGATTTTGGGTGGGAAGTGAATTTTAAATCAGTCGTATATTTTCGCCACCACGAAACAGCCATCTCTTAATTAACAGACGTTAATTTTTTTAGTTTTGAATACGTTAACATTTATATTTTAACCATATCAACCCATCATTGCACCGCTCTAGACACGTCTTCTAATAATTATAAAAGTGAGTAAATTTAATTAATTAATTAAAGAACATATATATATATATATTCAACTGCGTCGCGCATCGTTTTTGTTCAATATTAAGTCTTTTTTTTTTTTTAGTACTAACTCAAAGCAAACGTCTTCGTCCAGTTCATCTCCACCTTTATTCATCAATAATATACAGAAAATAAAGTGAGTTAATTTAATTTTTATTTAAATTATAAAAATTTATCTATTCCGTTATGCCCTCGCGCTTAGACAATTTATTTTTTATCTAATTTTTTTTTTTTTTTTTCTACCCTCAGCGTATTATGGCTTTCCTCCAGAACTTCAGAACTCCAGAACAGAAGAGTCAAGTCAACAATGTGAATCTCTCAATTGGCAAACTTCGAATGAACGAACCATACCCCGTGCGCACAATGAAAAATGTGGACACAAAGTTTGGCCGTGCCGTATCTTGCGTTCTGATAGATGTAGCGAACACGAGAACAATCAATGTCTTTCTACCAAAAGCTATCCAAATGGCAGACGAGGATATCGCCGGGTAAAATCTTGGTGCTGTACTGCCGGTAAGCGTTATATACCGGGGGTTGAATAAGAGGAGTTTTACTATCGATTTCGAATGAAATCGATAGTAAAACACTTTTCTATGTACATTATACACAGTTTATTTAATTATTATAAAAATATTTACAATTATGTTCAATAAAAAATGTTTACATATATGTTTTATATATATTTTATCTCGACCCTATAATGTTAATATTTTTCTAAATCGATGCAAACGAAAGATATATTTTATATACATTTAACAAGTTATATAAGGTATTTATATACATCAAAATAATAAGTGGTGGTGGTTTTTAAAAATATTTTATTTTATATATATAAGGTTATTATATTATTTAATAATCGATATTTTTAAACGCATTTAATGAGTGGTATACATTTCAACAAGTAGTTGTGTAATATAATTATTCTCTCCGAGATTATATGTTGTCTTTGATATAGACTTGACGTGATAGTAATATTAATTGGTATAGAAATCTGTATGGAATATTTAAAAAATAAAATAAAATAAAAAGTCTAAAGTATTTTTATCAGGATATTTTATTTACACTAATAATTATTTCTACATAAAATTATTTATTATTTTTTTTTTCCAATGTACAATTCTGTACACACGGCTCTCGTCGTACCTGCCTCCATCGGAGTAATCACTCAGATGAAATGATTGGGCGTCGTCTGAAAATATAAGATGTGATTCAAAAAAAAAATATATATTAATTTTATTTATATATGTCATTAAGAGGCCGTTCTGGTAGAAGTGAAAAATATACAACGCTCAAGAGATGGCGTTGTGCGCCGTATCGCCGCCGTCGCGGCAGGCCGTAACCACGCCCATCGTCTACGGGACCTGGTCCGCGAGTAATTATTGCGGGAGCGGTACATCATTATTTCACAGACGACCGTGTGGAACGTTTCGCGTCAATACTGTTGACCGCTGCGTAAATTGTGGCCCGTGTATTTCTTATGTAGGTAATAGCTTGCGGCGCACAAGTCGCGACCTATTTATTAATTAAAGCTCCTGTTTGCTTACAATTATCAACCAATAAATAGAGCACAACAAATTAATATACACCATAACTCGATTTATACTTCTAGCCCAATTACTTTTTAAAATACATATAAAATAATAATGTTTCATTACGATTTTTAGTAAATACCTATGTCGCGTTTTTTACGTTATCGCAATTTGCTGTATGTTTTTCCTCATATCATAAAAAACCATCTGTAAAAACTAAACATATTCATATTATTAGAATCAATATAAATTCTATACTTTGGTAATCACATATCATAAATAATATATGATTTGACGTGTATTATCAAAATAATAAGCCTAGATAAAGGATTAATTGTACCCGGACACCATACATTTAGTGGCCGCCCTCCTTCATTTTAACTTAAAATAATTGTAACACTACATTTTTACGACTGTAGGTATACGTATAATTATATGTATATTGTATAATTTTGTATACTGTAGTACCTCGTACAATCTTAAATAATAAAGATGATCGTCGTTATTCGTACAATAATATGCAATTCGCACTGCAGCTCCTATTTTGTCCCTATTGTTATTAATTGTTAGAATGTCAATTTTATATTTATTATCATTTAGTAATTTTCCTTTATTTAAAATTAAGAAAATTTTTATTTTATAATTACTGCTTACTAAATTTTTTTTATTTTTTTAGGCATCAGCAGGTTAAATTAATTAATTATTTAATTTTTGCCGAAAAAATTGCATTTGAAAATGTCATTGAGTGTATAAAATATAATAATTTAATTTAAAATTAAGTACCCATGAATAATATTTTAAGATTACAACAAAATAATTAAAACCATTATACATTTTTTAAATATCTAATTTTGTCCAAATATTTTAATCTTCAAATGTCTACAAAAAACACTGCAACGTTTATATATTTTTTTGTCCCAACGAAAAACATTTATTGACATTTATAGAAAAACAAACTTAAAAAAAATTGAAATTTTCATATTCGTTTATTAACTACCACAACTAAAAAAATCATTCGATGACTTTACCCAATTACTTTTTAAAATACATATATTTTAAAAATGTATGTATTATTAATATGTAATATTTATGTATTTTCTTATTTTTTTAAAAAAAAGTAAAACTTATTAGGTATATGAAGTTTGTTGTTGTACCTACATAATATTTATTAAATAAATACTATAATAGGTACCTACAATGGATTAATGAAATTTATTATAAATAAATGCTAGTGTTCATAGATAATGGATAACTAATAACTTATAACATTACGTATTCTTTTATTAAATAAAATGCCGTATCTATATATTATTATCTATGTAAAAAGTTTATATCGTTGCGTGTATACTAATGAAAGAAAATATAATATTTAACATTAGGTACATAAATATTTTACGTATTTGTTTTGCGTTGTTATTACATTCAATAAAAAACATCTGTAAAAATTATTTGTATACAAATTAAATAAATAAATATATTAATTAATACATTCAATATAAATATTGTTATTACTTAACTTTTAAATACAAATTAAAAAGAAAAGTATTATTTTACATTGATAGTTTCAAACTTTGTCTTGTAGATTTGGGTAAACGTTGTATGTATTTTTATGGCGCTGAAAGTTTTCTATTTCCAATGAATCCTCATCGAATTCTTGATTCTTGGTATAATTGTGTTTATGAGATCGAAGTATTAAGTTATGGGTGATACTTGAAAAAAATCCTGCTAAGAGCTTTGTACTCCACCCAAAGGTTTGGTACAAAAAAGTAATATTAATACCTGTGTCGACGATTGTTAATATTACTTTTACAACAAAGAATATCCCCATTAGCCCTGACACAAAAGTTCCGACTGTTGTGAACCAACCCCATAATTTAAATAACTTTTCTTCAACCATTTGTCCAATTGTATGTTCGTCTATTAAATATTTAAATTGAATACCTTGGTTTACTGTTTCATATCCCATGGACTGTCTAATTATATTGTTTTTAACGGCGTCCACTTCTTGGGGATATATAATATGTTGTTGGAAAGCTTTCATTGTATCTTTTGTATATATCCCGGAATTCATTAAAAAATTTAAACTTTTGTATGTCCATGTCCATGCTGTATTTGGTTTCAATTTTTGTGGTGTTTTTATTTCTTGGACATTTGGGAAAAATCCATACCAGTTACCATCTAAATTAAATGCCGGTGGGAATAATGAATTGCAGTTGATTTGCGTTCCATATTTTTGTAGAGAATGTGTTTTTGGAGCCATGAAGAAAGTCTGGTTGTTATATAGAACTGGTAATTCGTTATAACATTCGTCTTTTTTGGTCATCTCGACACTAATTTTTTTACATTTAATTAAATAAATTATTTCGGCGTGCTTGACGGCCGTAAAACCAGGACCACCGCCCATGATATACGCAAACTCCGGAAGATTGTTTGAGGCTAATGTAAGCCTTTGCTGTAATTGTCGTTCAAGCACGCATTGTTTTTTTAATAAATCGTTGTATAATGCGGTTATTGTTGATTTGAAAAAATTTTCTACATAAACAAATTTCGTATTTACATATGCGATTAGATCAGTGTTTTGAGGAGAAATGGATTTTATTTTAAAATGATTTAAAAACATAGGATCTGTAAGAATAAGTAATTGCATGAGCTCCGTTTGAATTACTGGAATTTCACAGGCAAATGTTTTTTTTATTTGTTTGAGAGCAAATACTATTTTATCCGTCTCTACAATGAATGTTTGTAAACTGGAGTTGTCGGTAGTGGTAGAGGTTATTAATGATGCTGGGCCATCAAATAAAACAACGAAATCTTGTTCTTCACAATTAAAATGGTTATTTGTCCATACGGTTTCACCTTTAAACGTGTCAATACCATAGTTATCGGATAATTTCATTTTTGTACCTGACGGAAGTATAAGAATATTGTCTTTGCTATTTGCTATAGCGGTACCTTCTGATAAATATATTTTAAATTTAGCTTGTACCACGACGTTTTCCCATTCTCCTCTACTTGATTTAAAATTCGTGCCTCTACAATTTCCAAATCTGTCCAGTGACCCTGCTACTGTGTGCGATGTTAATGTTGTTTCGTTCATTTGTAAATCCGTTACTATACCTCCCAAGGGAAAAGTATATGATCGTTTTTGATGAATTTCCGAACATCGAGCACTTCCTAAATCTACTACATCGGAAAAATACCCTCCCTCTACTAATTGTGCATCTTCAAATATCGAGCATCTTGTTATTAAATAATCAACTGTTATGAGACACGACTTAAAATGAACAGGGTAAGTTTCAATCCTTTGTAGTAATTGTAATCTCGGTACCTGTTGGGTGTTTGACGCTATTGGAAAATCACAGTTGTCCACTTCTAAGCTGTCGAAGGACGTGATATTTTGAGCGGGCCCATCACAATCGTACGCAATGAATCCGAAAGTGAAAGGCATGATTGTAATGATGACAAGTATTGCATATTTTATGAACATTTTGATTGGCTTTAACCTATAAAAAGTAATTTAATTAATTAAAGAAAATAAATGTCATTCATAAATAAGGCCTGCAGAAACTTCATATACTAAAAAGGTGTGCAACTGGATGTCGCTCTGTTGTACAGTAAGTTACAAGCAGAGTTGGGCAAAATTTTATCTAGATAATTATTCGTATATATAGGTATTCGAATAAAAATTTATTCTAATGACTTTTTTAGAATTATTCGAATAGTTGTGAAAAAAAACATCCGAATAATAATTTATTCGAATAACGTTTTATCTAAATAATAATCTAAATAAAATTTTATTCGAATAACTACCAACTCTGCAGGTTACAAGTATGTCACTGCAATGGATAGTATTAATTTTGAATTCAATGATATAATATCATTGTATACGAAAAACGATTCTGAGCGAAGAGTGAAAACTGTATGTCATTAGATATTTACATCACATTTTGATACCAATACATTCAATATGCCCCATCCCTTATCTCAATATATTGTTTATACAATTATAAAAAATATATACCATGTTCTTTAAATATTTTGAAATCATACAGCAGAAGAATAATCATTAAAAAGTAATTAGAGTATTTGTTATATACGTATATGTATATAATACCAATATATATCTATCTGCATAATAATATACTTATATATTTATAATTATATTTGTATAGAAAAATTCTTGAGCTGACGTACATTTTATAAATTATTATTTATTATTATATAATATTCTTTTATTATTGAACATAATTTTTAATATTAAAAAAATGGTATGTAGTTTGTCATTTTGAGGGGCCATATTTAACTAAGAAAAAAACTGTAGGTCACCTGACCTCCCAAACCCCCCTTGGGTCCGCCTCTAAATAAATATCTAAAATGTTGTAATTCTTTGAACATCAATCGCTCATAATTTAAACACATATTATTGTATAATCAATACATTCGTTGCTCTGCTCAGAGTCTAAAAAAATATTGTTTGAACAGAAGTCATTGCATTTATCAGGTCTTGGTAGTATTGTATTACATGTGGCATTCGAAAAAAAGTTTTTAAAGAAATCTATGTTACTACTTAATTATAATTTGAAAAAAAAATTATTTAATAAATGGGTTACTATAGTTAAAAAATTTTTAAAAAAAATATTATTTCTATTAAAATATTAGTATAAAATGTCTTACCTGATTTCTGTGTTTCTGTTTGATTTTATTATGTTCCGACGTGGGTTCAACGTTGTGCTCGAACTGTGAAAGAACACTAACGACACTATGAACTATGAACTGCTGCAGTGATACTTATGTTATACATAATTAAATAATTATTGAGATGATAATTAAGATTTAAGAGTATTATTATACAACAGTATTGTCGGATATGTAATATAATATAATAATAAGCATATAACGATACGATCGTACATTAGTGTTATCAGGCGTAATATAAATCAACGACTAAAACTGTGTATACCGGGTACAGCCGGACACGGCGGACAGTCACAAGAAATATATTGGTACCATATGGTATATATAGTATTATAAAAATGTATAATCAGCATCTTCTGAAGGCTGAACTACGGTCTGAATTTACTTATACACTACATGATATTATAGGGTGTTTCAATACAATGAATATATCACATTCACTACTCTAATTGATTTAGACTATTATATGATAAGTATGTATACAGTAACAGTATATAAGGATGTTTGTCTTTTTGTGACAAACATTTCTGTAGTTATATGCTTAGTATAACAGTAACGATGTGCGCGTAAGCTAGACATATTATATAAGTCACTGTTATATTATTATCATTTCGTCATAATTTAAATTCAAAATTTCTCACTAAACGTTTGTTTTATTACGTACTTTTCGTATTTTTACCGTAAAATGGATCCATCAAAAAATAAAAAACTATATAATTCAAGGAAGCCATCAAAAAAAAAAAATCTGAGTTCTCGAATGAAGGAGCTCTTGGGAATTCGGAACAAAAACAAGTATGTAAAATTTGAATGAAGCATAAATAATTTTATTACAAATTAAATAATTACATAATTTAACATAATTTATTTATTTTATTTTAATTCAAGGCACAACCCCGAAGTAATCGAACGTATTGTGCAGGAACCATTTTTCTTAGGAGTTGATAATCAACCACCGTGTTCGTCAAAGGAAACGATCAGGTAAACTTTATTTAAATATCCTAAGTATTATTTACAATTTAAGTAGGTTAAATATGAAAAATAGTTGTCAAAAAAAATCCGAGTCTTTGAATGATGGACTATTTTATAATAATTTACAACTAAAACTAGTATTTAAAAACACATATATCATATCGTATTTTTATATAATTCGTTTTCGTTTTAATTAAAGGCACAACCCCGAATCAATCAAATCTGCTGTGGAACCATTTTTCTTAGGAGCTGATAATCAACCACCATGTTCGTCAAAGGAAACGATCAGGTAAACTTTATATAGCTTATTATTTAAGTGGATTATATGAAACAAAAGTTTATTAGTTTTTAAATAATGTAGGCATAATATTATAAATTATAATATATAGTAACATATAGCTTTTTCAACTGTGTTGTAGTAAAATAACCAACTCGAGAGACAATGGAATTAATGATTGGGGAGTTGAAGAAACCTTACATGAATTGGTAACTGAACAATCTACATATAGTAATCAATATATTGAGTATGAAAGCTCCGGTAGACGAATAGTAGATATCAATTACGTTTTTCATCAAATTAAAAATAGTGATCACAAAGGGCCATTTGGTTGTTCATTTTTAAACATGACGTTCATTTCTGAAAAAAAACATGGATTAAGATCAACTTTTAAGTTTAAATGTGGTGTTTGTAATATTATAATGTTTATTGACTCGGAAAAATCGAAACCGGAAAATTATTTACCGATTAACGAAGCTGCCGTTAGTGGATCGATATCAGCTGGAATTGGATTTACGCAATTGTCTGAATTGTGTGCGACAATGGATATTCCATGTATGGCGTCCTGTACTTATATACTAGTTCAAAAATTTATCAGCAAAAAAATTCACGATGTCGCAGAAGCACAAATGAAAATTGCCGGCGAAGAAGAACGTCGTTTAGCAATAGAAGCAGGATCAGTAGATATTGACGGAATTCCTATGTGCACGGTTGTCGCTGACGAACAATGGTCTAAGCGCAGTTACAAAACTAAATATGATGCATTGTCTGGAGTGGTAAGTTTCTAAAAAACGTACACATACCAATTGTATACATTTTAACGTTGTATTTATAATTTCAGGCAACAATAATTGGTTACAGGTCGAGGAAAATTTTGTTTGTGGGGATTAGAAATAGGTTTTGTGTAATTTGCCAGAGGGCAAAAAATAAAAAATAAAATCCACCTGAACATACATGTTTTTTAAATTGGAAAAAGGGTGCTACAAGTATGGAAGCCGATGCTGTTGGTGATGGTTTTAAACAGAGTTTAGAAATGCATGGTCTAAAATACAATAAACTAATAGGTAAGTAAATTACCTAAGTATTTTCAATAGTGCACAGTTTTTTAATTATAGGTAGTAGGTACCTATATATAATTTCAATAAATGTAGTTAGTTTTTAATAAATATGTATTATTAAAAAAAAAAAAAAATCTAGGAGACGGAGACTCAAGCGTTACAAAAAGACTAAATGACATAATGCCTTATGGCCCTAGGCTACCAGTAATAAAAATAGAATGTCGGAACCATTTATTGCGAAATTATGGAACAAAATTAAAAGCTTTGACGTTAAATCCTAAGTACCCGATTGGGTTAAGAAATCACTTAAAATCAAATATGATACGCTTTAGGGTTGCAATAACTAAGGCAATTGAATACCGCAGTGGTTTACAGGGACTAACAGATTACCAAAAATCAGTTGGTAAGTTGATTATTAAAATTATATTTTTGATAACATTATAAATTAACACGATTATGGTATTTTAAAATTATATGCATTTATTATTTAAGGACTACGGCGAGATATAAATAACAGTTTTCGACACATTATGGGTGCCCATGATCAATGTGAGGAATACTATTGTATTAGACCGCGACCAGTCAATGAAGGAAATTTGATCAAAGACGCCGAGAATTCAGGGATTTTGAACGATATATCCCAAATAGTATCTCGTTTAGTTGCAAATGTTGATAGTTTACTGATGAATGTTGACAATAACGTGTGTGAACAATTCAACAGTATAATTAATAAACATTTAGCGGGTAAACGAATAAATTTTTCACAAAGAAATTCTTATAATTCTCGAGTTGAAGCAGCGGTTATATCATGCAACTCAGGTGGACAATTTCTTCGGTTGATGCATAAAAATATAATGGAAGACATAAGTTCAGGTGAATATATTATATACATTTAATAATATTCTAAACAATTTGATGTACCTATACCTACCTAATATAATGATGATGATATTATTAATTATACTAATAAAATTATTGGGTATAGGTATAATATATTGTTATAATTTTATTTATACGAAATATATACACCAAATGTACATTGTTTTTTTAATAGGAGAAATCGGAAAAAAATTCCTTAGATCGAGTGAAAAAAAAAGATCCCAGCCCAAATCTAAAAAACTTCTTTTCTCTGGAAATTCAGAAAAAAGGCGTAATAATGGCCCGGATCAACATTATGGTTTAGCTGAACCAT